CAGTCGGAGAGGCTTGTCAGCCCCGAAACCTGAGAGTGGGTGCGTCAGCACAGTGCACCACCGTCTCCGGAGAACTAACCGGAAGTGCTTGCACAGATGCAGGGGCAAAGGAAAGCCTGGGCTGCGGTGTGTGTGTGTGTGTTTGTGTGTGTCACAGCTGGGGAACAAGGGGGCACCCATATAAGACTCTTCTGCATCACAGGAAAACAGGTGCAGCAGTGGGTTTTACACTGTCATAGACCTACACTTGCCATTCCATATCCAGTTCATTGGGGGGGAAAAATACTCAGATATGTCAGATTAGCCAGAATATCGTTCCCTGGTTCCCGTTTGAAGCCTCTTTTTCCGGAGCCTGAAGGATTCTGTGGGGGACAGACCTCGGAACCTCTTCCTCCGATGCTGTCAGTGTTTCAGGCTCACCCAGGGCAGGGAACACCTACCTTTCAGAACAGGAAGCTGGTTTTAGGTCCACACATTTCTTCTAAAAAATAGCTAAGTTTTGAGCTTTTTAGCTAGATTTATACACTCTTTATTTTCTAGAAGAAGCACTTGTTTCTTTTTAAAAAATCTTAACATCCCCTATAACGCTAGGATACCGTGCATCATATTTCATGTGTGTGTGTGTGTGTGTCTGTGCGCGCGCGCATGCGCGCGCGCGCCAAAACAACACATAACAAAACTGACTATTTTAACCATTTTCAGGGGAATAACGTAGTAGTGTTAGCACATTCACGGTGTTGTGCAACTGTCACCGCTATCCATCATTCTAACCATAAACTTGGTACCCATTAAACAGTGAGACACAATTCCCTCCCCCCCAGCCTCTGTTAACCACCATTCTATTTACTGTCTCTATAAATATGTAAATATGCCTATTCTAGGTATCTCAAATAAGTAGAATCGTGGACAAATTGCCCTTCTGTAACTGGCTTATTTCATTTAGCATGTTTTCATCCATATTGTAGCATGTGCCAGAATTCCATTCCTTTTGAGGCTGAAGGATGCTCCATTGTATGTGTAGACCACCTTTCATTGATCTCCTTACCCATCTGTGCACACTGGGGTTGCAGGCACCTTTTGGCTACTGTGGCTGCTGTGATCAACATGTGAGTACATGCGTGTTAGGTTTAATGCGTAGCAAGCCTGCCTGGGTGTGTTTGCTTTCCCCCTGCACATGCGTCTTATCCCCCCAACTTAGTGATCCGTTCCACAAGTCAGGGGCAAGCCTCACACTTCTGTTATTTGCTACCCTCTGTTCTGCCTCTCCAGTATCGAGTGTGTTATAGGGATACAAATACCCGATGATAACAGACAATGAAAGCTAAAGTTGAAGAAGTAAGAAAACTGCTTAGAGGTACTGTACCTAGCATTGAAAGCGTTCTTTGATGTTCATTCTTGCTCCGGGAGAGCATTGGACTTGGCTCTTCCAAGCTCCACTGAGCAGGAGCCAGAATCCAATTGTGCGTTCAGTTCAAGCTGAGCTAACATGCTGGTGACAGTGTGAATTTATAGATGCCTTTTTGTGTGTGTGTGTGTGTGTGTGTGTGTGTGTGTGCTGTTTTTCTCTTCTGAATGAAGTATAAGTACCACATTAACTCGGGACATGAAACTGGGAATCCAGGCCTAGGAAGTTGTAGGAGAGAATATGTCTGATTTCTCCTTCAAAGATGTGTCTTTTGTTCATCCCAGAGTTGTTGCAGAATTAGTTTGTCTGGGCTATACAGGAACCCCCTAGAACAGTGGTCGGCAAACCGCGGCTCGCGAGCCACATGCGGCTCTTTGGCCCCTGGAGTGTGGCTCTTCCACAAAATACCACGGTCTGGGCGAGTCTATTTTGAAGAAGTGGCGTTAGAAGAAGTTGAAGTTTAAAACATTTGGCTCTGCAAAGAAATTTCAATCGTCGTACTGTTGATATTTGGCTCCGTTGACTAATGAGTTTGCCGACCACTGCCCTAGAGAAATCTTATATTGGGGGAAAACAAAGCAGTTTACTTAAAATGCAAACTTGGGATAAATATAGAACTCATAGTAGATTTATGATTGAAAGTGGCCCTGATATAATGTAAGAATATCTTTTAAGTATTTTTGCTTGGCACATAGTTAATTGCTTTGTGGAGAACCAAAGTTTTGTCTTTTCGGTTACATTTAAGAGATAGCCCATATTAAAAGCATGTTCATAAAAGGTCCTTTAAGGCTTTTATTTTTTTACTTTTTAAATATATTTTTATTGATTTTTTACAGAGAGGAAGAGAGAGGGATAGAGAGTTAGAAACATCAATCAGCTGCTCTTGCACACCCCCTACTGGGGATGTGCCCGCAACCAAGGTACATGCCCTTGACCGGAATCGAACCTGGGACCCTTCAGTCCATAGGCCGATGCTCTATCCACTGAGCTCAAGCAGTTTCGGCCTTTAAAGTAAGGCTTTTGAAGTAAACAACAAAGCCTGGGAGGAGATGGATTTTAGAAGCTGCTTTGGTGGAATTTCACCAACTGGCTGTCTGCACACAGTCAGGTGTGCCCACAGGGAGGGGACAATGAGGCCATTCACGCCAGGAAGTAGGAAGCACAGGCAGACCGCTTGTTTACAACCTGACAAGTGGGTCCTTAATACTTCTCACCTTCAGATCAGTGACATCGGCTTTCAGAAGATGCTGCCAGAACACGTTTTAAGGAGGATAAAATTCCGCTTGCATACGGCTTATGAACAAGGAATATGTCCCTTTATTATAAAGGTCTGTTAGCATTTACTTCTGCGAGTAATCCAGTCTTAGCCACTCCCTTCTGCCTGGTTAGCACTGTAACACTAGCCGGTCTGGGGGTACGGTCTTAGTCAGAATGTTAAATTGGCAACAGGTTTACTTCACAGCAAATCTCTGCGTTATTTGGAAAGCTATTTCCTCCCTCTCTCTTCTTTTCATTCAAGAGGTTTCTTTAAGTCCTTCCCTTGCACTTTACTGACACAACAGTTCATGGGAAATGTATCTTCCCCCTGGCACCCCAGGTCCTTGTCGCTCATTGATGGGCCATGCTCTTCCCATAGTTCCTTGAACCCTGTCAAGTCTCTTCTTCCTCTCCTTCCTGCAGCCTGTCCCCCACCTCCCAGAATGCACAGCTGCTTTTGCATGCCTTCTAATCCAAGTTGCTGACAAGTCTGCCAGACCCTCAAGTGGCTTTAAAACAAATGTTTTTAGCCGAAACCGGTTTGGCTCAGTGGATAGAGCGTCGGCCTTTGGACTCAAGGGTCCCAGGTTCGATTCCGGTCAAGGGCACAGACCTTGGTTGCAGGCACATCCCCAGTAGGGAGTGTGCAGGAGGCAGCTGGTGGATGTCTCTCTCTCATCGATGTTTCTAACACTCTCTCCCTCTACCTTCCTCTTTGTAAAAAAACCAATAAAACATATTTTAAAAAATGTTTTTTATTGATTTTAGAGAGAGAGGAAGGGAGAAGGATAGAGATATAGATAGAAACATCGATGAGAGAGAAACATGGATGGGCTGCCTCCTGCATGGCCCCCCACTAGAGACTGAGCCTGCACACCAGGCATGTGCCTCGACCAGGAATTGAACCAGTGACCCCTGGGTTGATGGATCGACACTCAACTGAGCCACACCTCACGTGGCTTTTAAATGAAGGTTTCAGTGTACAGAGGCTTCTTTCCTTTACTCTGGCAATCTGTCAGCTAGTGACTGTACACAATATCCTATGGAAACACATCGGCACCTGCTTCACAAGGCATGTTTACTGAGAAATCTATGCGTGGGGAAGTGGGTTTGAAATAGTAAACTGTCCCGCAGCTCCTGGGTTACCCCCCAGTGGAAGGTGTCCTTACATTCCACCTCCTTTGCAGGAGAAGAGCCGGAAGGAAAGCCTGAGCTTCCGTTCTGCCTCCCTGGGCCAGTGGGTGCCCAGCCCACAGAAGGCCCTGGTCGGACTGAGCTGCTGGGCAGCCACACCTTCTGTGGCCTTGGCCTATGCTGCCCTGAGCATGTTTGAGACAAGCTTCCCTAAACACTTCATTCCGAGACCTTACTCTGGTTTCTAGATCTTTATATTCAGGGCTCTTTTTTTTTTTTTGTCATTTGCCATTTGCCAATGACATAGTTTACGTTCCTTCCTTCCTTTCCTTTCCTTTCCTTTCCTTTCCTTTCCTTTCCTTTCCTTTCCTTTCCTTTCCTTTCTTTCCTTTTTCCTTTCCTCCTTCCTTCCTTCCTTTTTTTCTTTCTTTTTTCTTTTTCAATTTTTAAAAAATTTTTTTTTATTTATTTTTTTTTTTTATTATTTTTTTTTTTTAAATATATTTTATTGATTTTGTACAGAGAGGAAGGGAGAGATAGAGAGTCAGAAACATCGATGAGAGAGAGTCATCGATCAGCTGCCTCTTGCACACCCCCCACCGGGGATATGCCCGCAACCAAGGTACATGCCCTTGACCGGAATCGAACCCGGGACCTTTCAGTCCCCAAGCCGACGCTCTATCCACTGAGCCAAACCGGTCCCGGCTCTTTTTCAATTTTTAAAAAATATATATTTTATTGATTTTTTACAGAGAGGAAGGAGAGAGGGATAGAGAGTTAGAAACGTCGATAAGAGAGAATCATCAATCAGTTGCCTCTTGCACACCCCCTACTGGGGATATGTCCACAACCAAGGTACATGCCCTTGACCGGAATTGAACCCAGGACCTTTCAGTCCGCAGGCTGATGCTCTATCCACTGAACCAAACCAGTTTTGACCTTTTCCCCTTCCTTCCTTCCTTCCTTCCTTCCTTCCTTCCTTCCTTCCTTCCTTCCTTCCTTCCTTCCTTCCTTCCTTCCTTCCTTCCTTCCTTCCTTCCTTTTCTTTCTCTTCTTTCTTTTCTTTCTTTCTTGCCTGTGGTATGCTATAACCCACCGGGACACATTCCCATTTCCAGAAAGCCGGTGTGGGCTCCCTCCTGAGCACGTCTGTTCCCCTTTGTGCCCCAGGAGAGGATTAACCGCGCTGTTCTCTGCTTTTCAGACCTGGCTGAGGAGCGCCTCGGGGACAGCAGCCTGGCAGAGGGCGCGGAGACCTTCAGCGACAAGGACACGGACCCGAGGAGCTCCCCGGACGTGGCCAACAGCAAAGGCGGCTGCTTCGCGCCCGAGAGCCCCGAGGTGGTGTCGGTGGACGAAGGTGGGTACCCCGCCGCCGCCGCCGGTGGCCAGAAACACGGGGGCGCCTCGGGCGGCCGCCCCGACAGCCCCAAGTGCCCCGGGGAGCAGCAGAGCCACCTGCTCATCGAGGGCCCCTCGGGCACCGTCTCGCTGCCCTTCAGCCTGAAGGCCAACAGGCCCCCGCTGGACGTGCTGAAGAAGATATTCCCGCAGCAGAAGCCGGCGGTGCTGGAGCTCATCCTGAGGGGCTGCGGGGGGGACCTGGTGGGCGCCGTGGAGGTGCTGCTGTCCAGCCGGTCCCCGGGGCCGGCCGCCTCTGAGCCCGAGGGCCTCGTGCTGCCCGCCAACGGGCACCTCTTCGAGCACACGCTGGGCTCCTACCCGCTCTCCTCCTCCAAGTGGTCCGTGGGCTCGGCCTTCCGCGTCCCGGACACGCTGAGGTTCTCGGCGGACTCCGGCGGCGGCGGCGGCGTGGTGCCCGGCCCCCTGGCCGTGCCCCTGCAGCACCCGTTCCCCCAGCCGCCCCGCTACCCGCTGGTGCTGAGGAACGGCCTGGCCCGGAGCCAGGCCAGCCCCTTCCTGCCCAACGACGTGGCGCTGTGGAACACCATGACGCTGCAGCAGCAGTACCAGCTGCGGTCCCAGTACGTCAGCCCCTTCCCGGGGGGCAGCAGCTCGGCCGCCGGCGTCTTCAGGAGCTCCCCCGTCCTGCCCGCGCGGGCCCCCGAGGACCCCCGGATCTCCATCCCCCCCGAGGAGGGGTGCCCCATGGTGTCCAAGCAGCCCCTCTACGCCGAGGACGACTACGACGAGCGGTCCGACTCCTCGGACTCCAGGATACTCAACACGTCCTCGTAAAGGGGCGCCGGGAGGACGGACGGGGCCAGGTGGCTCGTTCTGGGCATCTGAACCCTTGGGGACGGACGGAGGGAAGGGGGGAAAGACTGAGGAGAAGCCACACCTTGTGTATTCCTTTTCCTTCTGTTGGACAGGGTGACTGTGCTTGGTTCTGTTGGCAATAAAAAACAAACAAACACGTAACTTATTTAATTTCTTGCACTTCACTGGGAAATGCCAAATAGCTCTGCTCTGTGGCTTTCGTGCTGACATGCTTATTGTGCCAGAGCATCTCAGGCTTAAGCATCGTCTTGGGAAAACTGGGACCACGGATGATTTATTTGTGTCAGCTTTGCTCCTAGACTCAACCCGGAGTGTCTGATAAAAAAAAACAAAAACCCGTATACTTGAATGCAGTTTGGCGAAGGGATTGCTCAGGACGTGCGGCTCCCAAAGGAAGGGGTGCTTGGATTGCGGACGGACTGCCGACAGGGACATTATATTCCTAACGCTGGAAAAACCCATCTTGCATCTTTAAAGAGAGAGACTGCTCCTAAGAACAGAGTGAACCGCTCACATGCTTAATTTAAGCTTGGACAGTTTTCAGAGACAAAACTCCATTAAGAATTATTCCTTTCACATGGCTGAACCGAAACACGTGTAATGTCAGTGTAAAACCCGTCACAGCTGTGGACTGCATGAAATGTGTTGTGAAATGAACACAAGATTAAGCTCTGCCGGGTTAATGTAGCATGCTAAGGGCTCTAGAAGAAATAAAACTAAGGAGACGATTTTGGTGCATGTCATTTCTGCTTGTGCAAAGGGGACCTCTGAAAGTAGGAGCCTGATGTAAAGGTGACTTACGCTAGTGCCCGGGTCCCACCTCCAGGTGTCCGTTAAATGAGGCACTCCTTGAGAAATCCTCATGACGGAGTTTTGGGGGTACAGCCATAAAGACGGAGAATGTATTTGTTCAACAATAGAGTTCCTTCGCTGCCTCTATCCATTCATTCTTTTCTTCAACAGATACTTATTGAGTGCCTACTATGTATTACAATGCTCCCTGTATGTTATTGTCCAAGGTACCTGCCCGTGAGCTGAAGACAAGCAGGGATGGTAATGGAGAATCCCATTACAATGGAGAATCCCATTACAAACAAATCCTGGGAACAGGACAGTCTGCAGCATGGGAAGTAAGTAAAGAGCTTAGCACGGCCCGAGCAGAGAGCACGCTCACTGTGCGAGAACTGTTACTCCTGTGAGGTTCACTAGCGTTGCATTCAGGAGGTAGGAGTGAATTCCCTCGTCATCTCTTGGAGAAAATGACCACCACACAACATTGAAGGCAGGGTTCCCCCCAACCCCTGCAACCCACGTGCTTTATTTTATTTTTAAATATATTTTATTGATTTTTTACAGAGAGGAAGGGAGAGAGATAGAGAGCCAGAAACATTGATGAGAGAGAAACATCGACCAGCTGCCTCCTGCACACCCCCCATTGGAATGTGCCCGCAACCAATGTACATGCCCTTGACCAGAATCGAACCTGGGACCCCTCAGTCCGCAGACCTGATGCTCTGTCCACTGAACCAAACCGGTTTCGGCCCACGTGCTTTATTTTAAAGGCAAGTTGGGGTGCTGCGCATGGCAGACTTCTTTGCTTGGATATATTTTTTTGTTGTTGTTGTTAATCCTCACCTGAGGATATTTTTCCATTGATTTTTTGCGGAGAGTAGAAAGAGAGAGGGAAAGACAGAAATATCGATGTGAGAGAAGCACTTCGATGGCTTGCCTCCTGCGTAAGCCCTGACCAGGCCCTGGGCTGAACCAAACTGGCTAGGTTGTGCTCGGCTGTTTTTAAAGGTTGAGTTTTCGAACAATAATACTCAGAGCCCACACTGATCACTTGTACTGTTTTCATTCTTCAGAGTGCTTGAAAGGAAAGATGACTGCTTAGCTCGGACAAACTAATGAGTGTGGAAAGGAAAGGAATGGAAAGGGAAGGAATGGAAAGAAACAAATACAATCCTCTTCATGACAGAGCCGTAGAGAGCTCCCAGTGCCAGAGTGGTGAGGGGCCCTTCAGACTGGGGGGAGGGAGGGGGCAACTCCTCAGCCCGAGATGCCCCTCAGCTGGGTCCCAGGAGAAAAAAAAAATTAAAACAAAAGAACTATCTCGTTTTTATTCCTGTTGGGCACTTTTGGGATGAGATGTCTCTTGAGGGGGGAAATTCACTATTATTAGTTGGACTGCTGTGTATTTCATTGCCATAGCTGCATATTAGAGGGTTTAAAAACGATTTGTTGTTTGAGTTCTATTTAGACATTAGTGTTTACGCAAAGGAAGAGCGTGAGGAGGTGGAGAGGAATACTCTGACAAACCTGATTCTAAAGACACACGTAAAAGGACATTGAATGTGGTGGTGGTGGGCTAATGCCTGGGCCTACCCAGGACAAATGTGTTTTCAAAGGCACCTTCCCCTCAAAAGGTACCCACGTTTATTTAACAAGCAACCGTGATAGCAGATCCCGCGTGAGCCAATGGTGCTCGTCTTCGGCTGTAACTTCTGCAGGTTGGATGATGGATGGAGCAAAACATGGCTTAAGATGCAGCGTTCTTACAGCTCGGTTTCAACCTGCAGATTGCCAGTCACTGGCTGCTTTCTACAGTGCCGGCTTTTAAAATGGAATTGTCTGGAAGACAGCATATTCGTGGCTGGTGCAGGTATGCTTAGTCCTCGGTACAATTATTTGCAGCAAGAAATGTTTTCTGTGGTGGGGTGAGTGTGGTCAGGGATCAGAAAGGAGAAATTGGCTGTTAAGATGTTACGTCTGGGCCTAGCCGGTTTGGTTCAGTGGATAGAGCAGTGGCCTGCAGACTGAAGGGTCCCAGGTTGGATTCCAGTCAAGGGCACATGCCCAGGTTGCAGGCTCAGTCTCCAGGCATGCAGGAAGCAGCCCATCAATGATTCTCTTTCATCATTGATGTCTCTATCTCTCTCTTTCCTTTCCTCTTTGAAATCAATAAAAAGATTTAAAAAAAAAAATCTTAATCTGGCTTCCAGCATTCAGTCTTTTTTTCTTAAAAAAATATATTTTATTGATTTTTTTACAGAGAGAAAGGGAGAGGGATAGAGAGCTAGAAACATCGATGAGAGAAACATCAATCAGCCACCTCCTGCACATGCCCCTGACCGGAATCGAACCCGGGACCTTTCAGTCCACAGACTGACGCTCTATCCACTGAGCCAAACCGGTTTTGGCAGTCTTGCTTTCTTTGTAGTCCTGACGGCTGAGTCCCCTCTGGTTGAAGTATATTCTAGCTCAGCACTCAAACACTGCCCTGTGAAGGCCTGTGGGATTCTCGTCTGCCCCTGGCTATCGTTTCTCTTTCACGTGAAACTGAATGTCGATGAAAATAGAAAAAAATCAACCGACTCCTAGTTAAGTCCCACCCGTCACAGAGAAAATAGCTGGGGGCTTGGTTGTCCACTTGCAGTTGAGTCAAGCCAGCGGTATGGGAAGTTAGTCCACATTAAACCGCAGTGTGTCTCTCCCCTTCTAGTGAGCACCTGTCCACTGCTAGCCTGAGAGTCAGTGCTTTGTCCATCTAAGATGTGTGTTGGCTCCGCGTTGACCTATGAACCAGGAGGTCATGGTTCGATTCCCGGGCAGGGCTCCATCCCAGTAAGGGGCATGCAGGAGACAGCTGATTGGTGATTCTCTTTCATCATGGATATTTCTGTCTCTCTCTGTCTCTTCCTCTCTGAAATCAATAAAACTGTCTTTTTAAAAAGAAGGAAAAAAAGGTGTGTGTCGGTGGGTTTGTCATGTTCTACAGCAATTTGTCCCCAAATGTGATCCCGGCACCTCATGCTTTACTTCTGGTTTAGATTCCCGTGTTGAATTCAGAGTTGTTAGTAGTCTAAAAAGTGTGTGTGTGTGTGTGTGTGTGTGTGTGTGTGCGCGTGCGCGCGTTTAAAATGTTTTCATTGATTTTTTTTTTAGAGAGAGAGGAAGGAAGAGGGATAGAAGCATCCATGAGAGAGGAACATCTGCATGCCCTCCACCGGGGAATCAAACCACCAGCCCCGGCATGCGCCCTGACTGGGAATTGAACCAGCAACCTCCTGGGGTTCATGGTCTGACGCTCAATCACTGAGCACACCGGCCAGGCAGAGCACCTGTATTTTTATCCTCCTCCCCAGGTGCTTCTGGAACTCACTGAGATCTGCGGACCTCCTCACTCTGCAGCTCACTCTTGGGTTTTCTTCTGAAACCTATGCCCAATAGAAGGGCTCAGGGGTACAGACTCTGACGCTGGGGATTCTATTCCCTCCTCCACCCCCATCCCCCACACCCCCGCTTTTCTGTGGTGAGAGGAAGCCCCAGTGTGTAAGCCCTAGATGCAGCTCAGATAGTGAGTGTCAGTGTTAGTGATTAGACTGAGTACGCATTTGGGATGAGACATGGCCTGTTTCTGGAAGCTTCCGGTTGGGAAAGGGCCAGAGGTCAGCATAAGCGTGGTGCTGCCCTCTCCCCTCAGGGCGGCCGCGCACCGCGGCTCCGGGTCCTCAGTGCTGTGCTCCTCGGAGCCGTGGTGCCTGGTGGACAGTGACTCTGGGAGGTGGCTGTTGCCCTGGAGCTTTGAGTTTGAAGAAATGTCAGCAGTCCTCCTGCCCCAGCTTTATTGGCATAGTATTGCCATGTACGTTGTGTGAGTGTAAGGTGCACATGGTGATGGTTTGATCCACGTGTACATTGAAGTGTTGACCACAGTAAGATTAGTTAATGCATCGACCACCTCACATAATTACGTGTGTGTGTGTGTGGTGAGAGCATTTCAGGTCGTCTCTCTTGGCACCGTTCACTTATACAATACAGTACTGTTACCTATAGTCACCATACTGTGCCTTGGTTCCCTAGACGTATTTATTTTATGACTGGAAATTTGAACCCTTTAACTGCTATCTCCCCATTTTCCTTACCCCTCGGCCCCTGGTAGACACCATCCTACTCTGTTTCCATGATTGGCGTTTTAATTTTAAAAAATATATATTTTATTGAATTTTTACAGAGAGGAAGGGAGAGAGATAGAGAGTTAGAAACATCGATGAGAGAGAGTCATCGATCAGCTGCCTCTTGCACACCCCCTATTGGGGATATGCCCGCAACCAAGGTACGTACATGCCCCTGACTGGAATCGAACCCGGGACCTTTCAGTCCACAGGCCAGCGCTCTATCCACTGAGCCAAACCGGTTTCGGCTCCATGATTGGCGTTTTAGATTGTATGTGTGAGTTTGATCACGCAGTACTGGTCTGCCTGGGACTGGCTTA